ATAGGAGAGGTGCTCCAGCCCTCATGGCCTCTTCTGGACTGGCTCCTGTAGGTCTGTGTCCTTCTGATGTTGTCCAGAACTGGACACAGCACTCCAGGTGAGGTCTCACAAGAGTGGAGCAGAGGGGCAGAATCCCCTCCCTCAACCTGCTGGCCACATTGCTCTTGATGCAGCCCAGGATGTGGTTGGCTGCCTGGGCTGCGAGCACACATTGCCAGCTCATGTTGAGCTACCACCCCCAAGTCCTTCTCCTCAGGGCTGTTCTTCATCCATTCTCTGCCCAGCCTCTATTTGTGCTTGGGGATGCCCCGACCCAGGTGTAAGACTTTGAACTTGTACACACCTTATATTCCCCTTATACACCTTTTATATTCCTCTTAGCTTTACAAATTGATACATTTTTCTTTAATAAGCCTAAGGGTCCAAAACCCTAAGCTGAAAAGATTAATGTTTCACCTCAAAAACGTGCATAGTCATATTTACTATAGTTCAACACTTAATATATCCAGGAATGCAGGAAGCAAGGCCATTGCTACAAGTTCACCTTATTTTAAGAAGCTGCTAAGTTATTAATGCTTACACTATAGACATCAATACTTTTATTTATTGAAAAAAGTAAATTTTAAGAATTATTTAATGTCTTTGTGAAAGCAAATAACATTATAAATTATTCATATTAGAAATATATACTGAGTATTTTAATACAATACTTTAAAGATACAGTTAAGAGAAGGCTAAAGAAAAAAAATTCTCTTACCCTGAAATGGGATTGTAATAAACTTGGTTGTAAACTGAAATAAGATTAAAAATATATAAATTAGTTTACTTTTCACAAATTGATTAAAACAAAGTAAGAATTTTCAATTATCTGTATATCTTTCTTTGCTTACAGCCAAAAAACCTGAAAATAATATAGAAACGTTTAGGTTGGAAAAGACCTTCAAGATCATCAAGTCCAACCATTAACCTAACACTGCCAAGTCCAATATGCCTAATTTGAGACTTAATACTGCCTATTTCACCTAAAACAACACTCCTAAATCCATACTGCAGAATCTAAACGACAGCAAACTGACTTCCAGAGGTGCTCAGCACTGAGAAATAAGCAGAAAGTTGTGGAGCTGCCTACAGGCTCCTTAAAAAGGAAAAAAAAGGAACACTTGGGACAAAAGCAGCTTATTTGTAAGCACCCCATGATAAAGACTGTCAGCTGCACTGTTTGAATTAAGGACACTATATAAATGGTACAACAGTGGGGTGTTACTTTGCTATTTACATGAACCTTTTAATTAAAGGCCTTTAAAGTTTCTACTTACACTACAGCTATGTTAAAAACTCAGCTAAATAGAGAATGCTTTATTGTCACTGACAGAAGGTTGTCATATACAATGATTAAAAGGTTTATGTTACCAGTTTCCTTGTTACAAGGAAAAATTTCACTTTCCACTTAAAAGCATTGATTCTAAAAATATTTCAACTCATCCCTCAAATGATTTTGGCATATTAATTTAGGAAACTTCCATTAAGTGTTGTCATTACTGCATGAGAATTGCTGCACAGAACTGCTGTTTTGCAAAAAGCTGAAATTATTATTACAAACCAAGATTTCAAAGTGTCTTACTGTAAGTAAAAAAGATATACACGTTCAAACATTTATTTTTCAATTGCAATATAGAGAATGAGCCTGGTCAAAGACCTGTTGAAACTCTCACAGCTCACAGTCCATCTGAAGCACACCTTCACTGACATTTCCACACCCTGTGAGTAATATGTTGCCTATGCACTAATGCTTTTACTGTTGCTTTTATGCTCTTTAAAGCTACAGAACAAGCAACTTTCTGTTTAAAAGGAAAGATTAGCACATAGTATGTACCTGAACTCTAATCACCACAGATTACTTTATTCTAATATCTGTAGTACTGCTGAGAAAAGTAATTGGTGTTTATTTCAAGTGACATTAACTCTAAGATGGCCATTATTTTCCATTAGAATTCGTGAAAAGCTTCTACAGTGTAACTTCTGTTCCTGTACAGCATTTATACAGAACATTTACCCCAGAAAACTGGGGCCACAGAAAAGCCCAGTTAGCTTTTCTACTGACAGCAATCCAAACATCTGAGGTAATGGACTACACGTTCCACCGTGTAGCCAAAGCAATTTGATGCAACGATAATCAAAACTCAGTGCTTCCACACTACGTACCACTGGCTTTGCTTAACTATAATTTTAATTGTTAAATATTCTCAAGATATCACCATAATAGGACAACTTACCCTAGCAGGACCTGTTGATAAGAATTTGAATTTCCCAACATACAGACTATCAAATTCAATATTCAGTGCTGGGTTCATCTGTTTTCTAGGCGTGCTTCCAGAAGGTAAGGTGATAGGACATGTATCTTCAATTGACTCTGTTAAAGACTGGAGAAAATAAAAAAGTATATTTACTACAGGTATTTAAATGAGATACTTCCCTCCTGTAACCTTATGAATTTTCTCGTTATTTTTCTAAGAACTTACTGCCAAAGCCAACTTCCATATAAGAATGCCATATTAAAAAGCTGTAAATGTTATTACCATCATTACTGACAATGTCCTTAAGGGCCTAATAGTATCTTACTCCACCTCTAAAGTTCCCATTGCCAAGGCATAACCTGTGCTCTTTACTAATCTACAGCAAAGTAAAAACTCAAACAACAGAGCAACAAAAAATAGCCCTTTTGATATCAAAGGTACAGAATCCAATTCAATGCTTATGATCAAAATTATGCATCTGTGAGACGAGGCAGCAGTAGCTTTTCTGACTTGTTTTGGGATTACAGAGATAACCCAAATCCAGGTCAAAGCAAGAAGCACAAGGCTAATCAAGTCCAAAATGGGGCAACAACCTTTATGGCTAGTTTTAGATTCAAATTCATTGCTAGCCACACAGGAAAGGGAGTTCTATCCTATCTCTGCCTGCTGTCAACAAAGATCCCTGAACTTCTCCATGTGCTGAATTACAAAAGAGGACTGGATGACAAGAAGAAACTACTGACTTGAACTGCTAGCAATATAAAACATTGTGTGAAAAACAACTTTGCACAAATGTATCTTCATCACCTTCACCTCTAGCTCAGATTACTTTTTGATCCTTCCTGTTCTGTAATATTAAACACTTCCAAATGTTTATTTTCAAAAATATGAAATACATTTTATGTTGCAAAAACACTTAAGCTTCAGAGCCAGAGATGATCTCTGAAAACCATCCAGAATTTTATCTGTTAAATAAATTACTGCAGCTACTACTTGTTGCTGGGACTAATGATATCTGCTCTAAGCATTTCACTTTTGTTCTAACATGCAGAAAAAATACGCAGTGGAGAAATAAATTAAAGTATTAGCATAACAATATGTAGGCCAAAAACTGGACTACCTGCTCTGTATGTCTCTCCATCTTGCCTTCCAATTGCTTTCCTGAGAAATAGAAGTTGGATTGTTGGTCTGTTTCTTTATTGTCAGGGATATTTTCCTGCAGCAGCTCTGTGCATTTTGGTTCAGATCCATCTTCGTCATCTTCATCACTGGAAAGGATGACTGAAGAGGAAAAAAAGCATACATATACTACAAGATGTAGACTTGAGAATATTTAATTCATGTGGATTTCAGATGAAAATAGAATTATCTCTTGCAGTATGTAATACCCAAGTACAGTGCCCAAACCAGTCAAGGTCTGCATGCATGGAAGTGTATGCAACAAGTACTATTTTGTATCTTTATTAACACTTTTTACCCAAGATCTTCAAAATTATTTAACTATTAAAAGAAACGGGCCACACCATAGCTGCTTCAAAGAAGAGAGAATATTCTTTCCCAGTTTAAGCATCATTATTAAGTACAACCTTTATTTTCCATAGCCATAAAATCATCTGCAAAATAAGGACTGTAATTTGAAAATCACAGAATCATTTTGCTTGAAAAAGACCTTTAAGGTCATTGAGTCCAACTGTCTAAATCCTGCTGTCTATCCTGCTTCTCATGTACAAGACCCTCTACAGTCCAGTAGAGGACACTGGTACAAGGCAGTGTTCTCTAACCTGCACAATGCATTACGAACAACATGATCTCTGTCTTCAATCTTTTGTTCCATGTGTTTCAACTAGTGAGACATGCGTGAGTTCTCCTAGTACCTAAGCTTACCAATAGCAATAGTCAGCAGCACAGATACAGTACATACTTGGGTCAATTGAAACAAGTTGTCCGTTACCCCTGCAGATTCTGCTCCGCAGCTTGCTCAGGTACTGTGATGGGTCCATCTTTAATTTCCTGATGGTACTAACATGTGGCGAAAACAAGTCCTCACTGGTGGTAGAAAACTGTTTCTCTGACAAATTTCTGGAAGAAGACTCCGAGTCAGGCTCCTCTGTGCAGCTGTGAGCAGGCCTTAAGTGCTTGTGAGTGGAAGTGTCTTTACAGTCTCTCTCTAACGGCTGAGGAATACAATCTGGCACCAGAACTGTGTTAGATCTGTGACCTTGTCCACTCTCAGAGGGTGTTCTGCGGCCAGGAGACTGAGTTGAACTCAATCTTTGCTCTTTCTAGAAAACAGGAATCAGAGACAGAATATTATGTTTATTTCTTAACATTTCTATGATGGTTCAGATCAGTGATCACTGAGACTTAGCTACGTGCTAGCCAAAATAATTACAGCTTAGCGCAGCTGCACTTAGACCTCAAGTCAGGGTAATTTCTCCCTCCTCATATTCCAAACTTTATTACATAAAGGCATGAGGGATGATCTTTTAAAAGCCTACTATGACCCCCATTCTAACTGAAAAGGAAACCATTTCTGTTTTTTTAGCAGCTCTCTCATTGTCGGACACTGAAAGACCAAGCACTAGTGAAGTTCATAACTGCACAAATGTGTGGTTTGGTCAACTGGGTGAACAAGACTTAGCAAATACCTGCTTCTGTGGGGTTTTAATCAGAAGGTTAGAGAAATGGCTTTCTTGTATTTAAATGCTTGAATAAAAATCATAGTTTGTACTTGACTGATTCCCTCAGGTTTTTTTCTCTCAAATCTTAATAACAGGTAAGAATAAAACTTTAGGGAAGTCTATGAAAGACTCAGGAGGAGGGAGAAAGATGACATCTGCAAGATTTCAATAATCCCATGTATACTTTATAATTTGTGTATTAAATTCCCTAATTAGTTCTATACTGTCTGTGAAAAAAGCTTAACTTAAGTAGCTAGATATCTTATTTCCAAAATTGTTTTACTCCATGCTCCTGTCTGAAGGCAACACTGTCATTCATCTCTCCCCACCTTTCTGATACAACAAGCACATTCTGATGCAGTGGAGAATAGTACATATACTCACTCTTCTTGATGCACCACTGAACTACTTTCCCTCAACAGGTGTAACAGTATCCATAGATACTCTGCTCTAAGTTAGTCTCTTACTTTGGATGTTGCTACTGCTGCTACTGAAGTGTGTGTGCATGCGTGTACACAAACACATACATTAAAATTAAGTGCAACTTACAGACAATAGAAGCGATTTTTGTGGAATGTGTGCATTACAATCATCAGAAATGTGGCCACTAGATCTTCTTTTCCTTTTCTCAGCATCAAAAGGGCCCAATTCCTTCTGACCAAGAGTGGTGCTGTTCATATTTCTGCTCCTCTTTTCCAGTTCACTATAGTTCTTGTTTTCTGTGTCAGAAGAAAAAAAAAAAAAGTGATTTCATGGCTTATCCTTATAAACTTTTGTATTTCTTCATATCTTTTGTTTTAAATAAAATGCATGGAAGCCGATACCTTCACGATAGTTCTTTCCTTTTTTAATTGTGTGTGGCTGTCAAAATATATTCCCTAAAATAATTAAGGAAGATTATTATTGCGCAATTAGTTAACATAAGCGTATAACCAAATTTATAGCTTCCTTCCAAGTAAGAATTTGCACTTCACAGTCTTTCTTCTATGTTCTGCTGGATGCAATATTCTCTATTTCCTGTTCTAATCTACTAACAAATACTACCAACCAGTATTAAAAAGACAGTACATTCTCCTTGGAGACTCAGTGTTGAGCTCATAATTTTTCAGTAGTAAATACAATATTGTCATTTAGCATAAACATTTTAGCATGGTTCACAAACCATTTGAGCATTCTTAATGTATTACATTCTTGACTGGAAAAAGCTTTTTATAAACTCATAATTATATTGGTGCAGTGAGGCTGCCCTCAGTCTCCTTTTTCTTCCATAGATGTGATTCACTATAGCTTTATTCCTATTTTAAAAGAGCTGTTTGATATATTTTACCACATCAGTAAAAAAAATGCATATTAAGGAAACACATATACTGTGCACAACACTTACTTCTGTGCTCTCCTCTTAATATTAGACTAAAAAAAGAAAATTTCCCAACACTACAAAATTTGTATTTAAATGCCAGATTATTGTTGATTACAAACCTTTCTTCTGCAGCTCCCGTCTTCTCAAACTTAAGATATTTTTTTCTGGCTCCTGAGAAGCCTTGGTCAATTTACGCAGATCATCATGTGCCTTTCTCAGACAAAGCTCAGACCTGTAAAGAATATTAACTCTAACTTATCTTTAAATTTGAAAGAATACTGAATAAAAATCCCAACAGAAACAAGAGTTGGTTAGACCACAAACTTCTGCCCCTCTCATAAGCATGTGGAGCTTGGCAAATGAAACACAAACTAATTCAGTTCCCATTATGGAAATACAGATACTCTGACATTATTAATGAAACAGATGCTTCTAAAAGGCACAAAGAATGAAAATCTGACAGGCTTGACATCAGACACTGAAATATTATTTTGCTGTAAAGCACGACTGCAGCAAGAACACATAACAAGAAAAAAAGAGAGAACAACAGTTATTTGAGTGTATCCTTGCCTTTGTCATGAATGCGGTGAGAATGAGGCAATGTAGTACATTTTTAATTTAGCTATAGAACTGTTAATAGAATCCACTGAGTAAGTTCCTGCAACAAGAAGAGACTTGAAATAGAAATTCCTGCTCAAAAGGGCCTGAAACAGTAACTTTGAAGGAGGTGGCAGGACAGGACATAAATGAGGAAGAAGAAAGGAAAGAAACAGAAAAGGATTACAGTACAAGAAACCAGGCAACCTACAGCTGTTGACCTGAGTTTGTAGTTTCATTCTAAGAAGAAGGACATACAAGAAAGTAATCCTTTTTCTTTAAATTTTATAGCCTTTTTATAAATAGGAGATCAGGAGGTACTGATAGACTGAACAGTATGACATTCTCACATTTGAGGTATGATCTTGTAAACATACTCTCAACTTCTCCAGTAGCTAACTACAGCTGACAAAAGTCTACATAACTGTATTTTACTTTCTAGTGTATGCATTAGGATAACATTTATTTGTATGTTCATATGATATTTCTCACATGAACTTAATTACATCCAGTATGCAAGACTTCTCTTCTGAAAATCTGTCAGGGTTACATGACCTCTGCTTCACTTTCTGTGCGAGTTGGAAAACAAAAAAGAAAATACAGAAGATTTCATAGATAAAGCAATTTAATGCTGCTCTGGAAAATTGGTTCCATTCCTTCTTTTGTCATCCCACTTAATCCAAAGGGATTTTGCATTCATTGTTTTATAACATGGCTAACTCAGAATGTTACGGTCTCCAGTTTGCAAAGAGCTAAGCGATCATCGCAATGACCGAAATCACCAACAGCTGAGCCCAGACCCATAAAGAACATCACCAACCACGGGAAAGAAGATTCTTGACATCTCTAACTAGACAGCCAAAACTGCCGGACACTTTCTGAACAGATGCTTGTTCTTCAGTGCCGTGTCTGTAGACTGGAGTATCGTTGCTCTTCGGGAATATCATAAAGACAAATAAAGATTTCCAGAGTGCTCTGATACTACCAGTGATGAACAGTACACAAGCATCGTGAAGAAATCTTTCCATTCACAAAGAATCATGAATTGGACCATATACAGAAAAGGTGTTCAGTAAATGCCATTACTCATTCTGTATACTGAACAAGACAGAGACTTCCAGAGACCAGGCAGTTCTAGTTCTGGAATAACCTCACTACAGAAAACTTTATTTTGGAACCCACATCTCTCTGAACTTAAATATTTGTAGGCATGACAGCTATATAGATCTGACTGCCTTAAAAGACCGTACAAAACCACCAAGTGTTTTTTAGCATTTGTTTTACACCAACATCACAATTCAGGCATTTCAAGAATAGGAATTTTTTCAGTAGGAATGTTTCAGCTAATAGACTTCCCTGAACATATTTACTCCATACACAAATTTTGTACATCTTACTTCCACTTCCAGTCTTTGCTGATAACAGTTTAAAATGCACCTCCTAACAGACAGATGCATAAGCTAAGAAGCTATGGCAGTATACACTGAAGTGTTCTCAACAGCCATGAGGAACAAGTAGGAAACACACTTTAAAACACTAAATCTCTTTACATTTAAAACCTACCCCAAATTCATTAGTTACACTGATAGGTCAGTGGTGACTTAAGCAAATGCATTTCACATTGTGTTGCAGTGAAGCAATGTAAAACCCACTAATTCTGTAATACCAAGGGCAAGAAAGGAAACAGGGAACTCGCAGCAAGTTCTAGCTGATAGAGAAAGGATAACTTATTACTACCCTGTTCTGATCACACACAATTCTTTGACTTATTCTGAAATTTCCATAGCACAAATTGGGCACAATTTTCAGTAAAACAGAGTGTGCGTTCTAGCTCTTCTGATGATACAAAAGAATCTCTATATGGCCAGGCACATGTATATGCATAGCCGTTATAAGGGGGGAGCTCTCACACTCCTCTGAAAGAAGAGACCCCAAAAGAATCAGTGCCCAGTGTATCTTACACACAGACCTTGGTACAGAGAGGTGACCAGGATCAAACCATGGCTTTGCTGAAATAATTCCTAAATTCTCTATTTCCCATGTGATATGTATTACAACTTGCACTAACATGCTGGTCACTGCAGAAGGGTGGAAAATCCTCCTGATGTTGGTTCCTGCTAATAACAAAGTCTTCTACTTAATACATTAGAAAAGCATATCACAGGAACAGAATATTAATCCACTCCAAATCTAAAGCAAGTTGAGTACACCAACGACTAGAAAACTGACTAGTTCAAGCCATTCTTATACTTCACAGAAAACTCAATAGTTGCCCTTAGATATGAGCTTGAAAAAATATGCAAGATGTTTCCTCAGATTTAGAGAGTTACATACAAGAGTTCACATTTTCCTCTGTATTAACCCACTATCTCCCATCTTCCAAAACAACACCAAGAGGAAAAATCGGATACTAAAAATTATAGATCTTAAAGACGTTGTAATAAAACAAAAAACCCCTCCAACAATCCAAATAAACTCCCCACACTTTAGTCAGTCTAAAGTTAGGAAAACTACTTATTAGCAACAAATGTAATGCTTCTAAAATGAGACAGTATAATAAACTGTTCTAAATCCCTCATTTAAATTGCAGCTTTGACAGATTAATTTAAGCAGCAGTGGAGATCCCAACAGAAAAAGATAAAGGAATTCTTACTAATGTAGGTTTTCTAAGATGTTCATGTATCAAAATGAGGACTATGACTTACTTTTCTCAAGAATTTTTAAGATTTCTTTAACCTGGGAACTGTTGATTATTCCTGCCCTCACAAATCATTCTTCTCTTCCTTCCTCTTTCTATTGTCTTCCCCCAAACTTCTTGCTATTTGTTCCTGTGGATATCTTGCTGTTAAACAAAGAGGCAGCCATAAAAGACAAGAGGAAACAGCTTACTCTGGATTTAACTGCCATCTCAGACCAAAATGTTACATAATTCTGATTTCTGATAGTTTTATATGTCAAGTGTTACTGTGAAGCTCAGACAACCTAAATGTAGGAATAAAAGAGGAAAAGTAGATGTTACGCAATGAGAGGACACACACCCAGCCCTTAAACAATGGCACTGGTGGATTAACATGAAAAGAAATGAACTGTCACAGAAAGGAACTTGGAGAAATTTTGCAAAAGAAGTTATTTGAAATCACACTAGAACACATTAACAAAAACAGGAAAGCAAGATTTTGGTTCTGGACACAAAACCAACTTAAATGTGTTTGAATTACTTGACCACCTTCACAAATCAAAACATTGATCTACTGCAAATGGAAATTCCTTCTGTGAAAGAAAAGTAGCCTGTTAACATCAGGTACAGCAAATCAGAATAAATGCAATGTTAAAATGGCTCGTTGGAGCAGCATGTTAGTTTGCACTCAGGAAGTTATACTTCCTTCAAGACAAGAGTATAACAACAATTGTTTCAGGGAAATTCTTTTCCTTTGTGTAGTTATGTCATTTCAGGAAGACTGGCAAAATCAGCAGTAAGCAACATACCTTTCAGAGAGAAAAGAATTTTCATGAGGAGAACTTAATATTTGACATGTCTGTAGGCTGTCAACAGATGATGAGGGTAGTTGACCCGATTGTAATTTGTCACCATCAGATAAATTTGCATCAATTATTACGTGGCTGTCTATGTATTTTCTTCCAGTTTTCGTCCTCAGGACATTCGTCAAGATAACTTTGGGTTGCCTGCCATATATATAACAGTAAATCATAAATACTGCACTGAAATCTAGATAAAGAAAGTTCTTGTTAAGATTATGTATCTTAGAGGCTTGATAATAATCAAAGATCATTACTTTCAGTCCCCTAAGGGACAAAACAAAATCCCACTAGAGAATTTAAAATCCAAGGTAAGCAGATAAACACAAAAAAGCAACAAGAAACCAGGGTAAGAAAAGCTAGCCATATAATTTCACCTTAGATACAATTCACACTGCACTGCCTCTAACACATCACCTAAGTATTGTTTAAAAACTGGTAAATGTTTATCTCTAGATAGGTTTCATGCAATATCTGTACACATTTCTCAGATCTATGGAGCAAACAGTCTTGATTTTCCTGTGAACAAGAAGCCTCCAGTAAAACAGACTGAATTTTCTCAAGCACATAGTCAACAGGTAGAAAAGCAACGCACACACAGAACGGTAGCATTAGATTTTGTTCCCCTCCTCAACTTCCAGGTAGCACTCTACAGAACAGCAATAGCAAGGCTCAGAAAAACACCTGCAACTGTTAGAAGAGACAAGCACCAAAAATAAGCTAAACAGAAATATGAGGATGCAACCGCCCACTTGAGCACAGATGTGTAAGAGCAGCACAACTTTCTTCATACAATGCCACTGCAGCCAGCTCACTGCATAGCCCTTGATTTACCCACTTAAGTTTCTCAAATTGGGATTAAAATTCTACCAATTCCATGGCACTTTATTTTGGATTAGGATGTAAGGTCATGGCCTTTTTTTAATCTGTTACAAACAACATTGTCTTCTGGGTATCGACTGCATAATTCTCCTGTTGTCCTTATTCATCCACAAAGCACACTCCAGCACAGACTGAGGGATGTCTGGGGAGCACTCAGATCTCCTCTTGCAACGAGGTGTAAATTTGCTTTTAATCAGGAGACTGCCTTACAGATATGATGCTGCAGAGGCACACGGGTGGCAAGCAATGAGGATACAATTGAGAAGAAAAGTCTGACATAAAAGAACATTGTAGTCTGGATGTAACCTTCAATAAAGGAAGCCTCTAAACTGTTTATCATCATCAACTGAGAGAGAAAACTCAGTGAAAAAAGCATTCACTCTAGCCATACATTTCCCTGGGTATTTGCAATGGATCAATGCTTGAGGGTGGGCAGGGAGAGACACTGGACTTGATACGCTTTTCTTCTGACCCTTTGACCAGTTCTCAAATTTTCATGAGTAGTCTGAAACAGTTAATAGTGAAAAATACAACTTGATGCCTCCTCTGATAAAAGAGGGCAGTTAAATGCAAGTGTACTCTTCTTTTCACAAGAATAGAACAACCCAAACATTTTGAGAGTCCAATGGCTGAATCAGAATTAATTGGTCTTGTCAGTACAGGACCATCTAGAAGCCATCTGATCAGAAAACCCACTACAGTGTGCCTAGCACCACCTCTCTCAAGGATTATCAAAAGGAATGAGGAACAAGGGAATTCAATCAAGTCAGATGACATAAGAATGAAAATATAGTTCATAAACAAGACAGCTGTGGTACAACAAAGAATACTTTCTCAGGAAGAAACAACTGTAAGTACAATTATTTTGTTTAGTGACACAAGGCAAAGACAACGTACCTTTTGGACAGAAAAAGGTTTTGGAGAGTAGGGTTTAAAATCTGCCATATCTTTAGGCTGGCAGCAGATGATGAGGGTGGTTGATCTGACTGCAGCTTGCCAGCACCAGAAAAATTAGCACCAGTTTTAAGTTGCGCCTGTGTGTATTTTCTTCCTATTTTCGTCCTCAGGACATTCGTCAAGATAACTTTGGGTTGCCTGCCATACATATAATAGTAAATTAATACTAAGGTGCTGAGAACTTCTTAAGTCACATGAATTCAACAAAGCTTTTCTGTAAATTTACTGTCTCTGCATCATACCTTGTATCTTCAGTAGAATTAAGTTCACTTCCCTGACAATTTACAAAGCAGTTCTCTTTGGAGAAGATGAATCACAAACATTTTTTGATCAAGACAGCTTTTGCAGGTTTCTTCTTCTGGTATCAATGACTAGCACAGTCACATGTGATTCTGAAGAGGTAAACTTTCAGTGCAGAAACATGCAAATTTTGGTGCAAATTTTTATTACAAAATGTTGGAAGTAGTCACGATGGCCTTCTGAAAGTCTACACTTGAGTATTTGCAGGATACATAAGCAAGCACTCATATTGTGGCGTCTTATTTTTGAACCATGAATATTACTGGTTCCCATATCACAAATTAGATTATGATATTGCTGGGGGAAAAAATAAAAATCAAAATCAAGAGGCTAGTACAATCTCACAGTTTTGAAGCTCCAACTAATTTCTATTCAATTTCACTAAAAAAACAACATACAAAGATGAATTACAAACCTAGTAAAAACTCCCTATTCAAGTTCTTTAAACAAGTATCTACACTTTGCTGATTCTGCTAATTAGTACTGAAGTCTTCACATAAGAAATTAATTCTGCAGCACAGCCAATAATTTCAACAGTTTCCTAATAAATTGATAAGCATTATATAACACAGATACTTTGTTAGGATTGACTTTATTTTCAAACAGATGAAAATTGGACTTGTTTTCCCAGGACTGGTCCTAAGAGGACACTGAACTTCAGGCTCATCTGTTGGTTTTAGATTACTGAGGTAAGAATTGCTTTTTCTATTGCATGTCTTGTGTAACAAACGAAATGGTTCACACTGTAGAGCGAGAATCCTCCTTTTACAGCTACAGAAGACCCTTTACTATTCACATAGCTGTTACATGCACGCTACAGTGACAGTTCTTAAGCAAATGGCTGCTGTTCCTCAGAGGGTTGACAACTGTGCAAGCAACTTCTAGGAAACTGTAACTGTCCCACCGATAGCTGTCAGCTGTCCCACTGCTACATGCAGCTCAACAGCATGGTTACAGGGTAAACAAATAGGTATGGCATGAAAAATGCTGAATAACAGATATGCTTGAACCTAAAAAGAAAAAAAAAAAAGATCTGGAACTGCTGTATTAGTGAAACGTGTTGAACTCAGGGAAGATGTTTCATGTAATCCTTACATTCTGCTCTTTCAGTAGCTGCTGCATGCTGAGGTTTCTTTTCTCTGGTGACTTATGTTAACAAGACCCATGACCCTTCACTGAACTTGAAAAAACAGTAAAGCTCCTATGCAGATCTTTGCGAACCTGCATATAAGCTATGAATGCTGATCAATCTTATCAGATCTCTGTATCACTGAATGCCATAACGTGTATGCAACGAGCTGCTTTCTCTTAGAGCTCTGCTATACATTTCCTGGACCTGTGGTCTCCAAACTTTTTTTGGCCATGCACCCTATCAGTAAAAGTATTTTGAGCACACACCTTCAACATGTTTAATTATAATTTATATAGATGTACTAATGCACTAATATTGTGTACATTATAAAACACACTTTAAAGGGATGTGATAAAGATGAAATAGCATTTATTTATTAATTGTACAAAAAAATATTTCTGTCCTGCACCTCAGTGGATTGTCTTGCACACACCATACCTTGGAGACCACTATCTAGACAATGGACAAGAAACCTATATGGTTCCCATTCACAGCTAAGTAATTTAAGCTCAAGTGAAGACAGTCTCCTCCACTCTGGGCTTCTCTTAGAAGTTTCCCAAAGGAAAACTAAGTGGTAAAGTTCAGGCATTCTGATGCCAAGAATCTGGACAGAAAAGAAAAAGTGTCTTATGTAAGGGGTGGGTGCTAATTAGCTATTGGAAAAACAATGCAGGGTTTCTGAAGTGAGAGACCCTATGAAGGCAATGAGAAGTCGTATGCACAAAGACAATCTCAGTAGAAGACTGACCTACACCACAGGAGTGCTCCAGAATGTTTCAGGAAGAGGCAGGCATACATTTATTCGTTTACCTAGACCTGTATATACTCTATGACTATTAATGCAAATAACTGTTGTTTTTAAGAGCATGTGCTTCGAACACTGTACACCAGAGAGTGGGTTTTCATTTAAAGATATACTTTAACTACTGAAAAGCTTAGGAAGTAAATACAGGTCATGAGGGACAGGTCAGTAACACTAATGTCTTAGATGGTGGAACACAACTGTAGCAGCCTAGTGAGCACATTCCAAGCCTGCAAAGTGTTCTCAATTTAGCATAGGAAGCAGGAGACTTATTTTCTATGGAAGCCCCTGCTAAGTCAGAAGTTCTAGGTTTTTTCTGGGCTTCTCAAGTGCTCAGAGTTGATGGATTAACCACTGGAAAAGCTTACAGTGACCAGACTTAAACATCTGTCTTTTAGCCAACTGTATATAAAAAGGCATGTCTAAGGAAATAAAGAATATATACATTTAAGAAATGTGATAAAAATTCAAAATTCAGCTACACAAGAACCTATTGGACTGTTCAGAAAATTTACAGCTACTAAAGCAGTTAAAGGCAATTTCAAGGTAAAAGTCATCAAATAACACGTGCAAATTCATCTTAGGAAACAAGACACTCTTGTGTTTTAATTTTTTCCTTAAAGATAAGGGAAACCCAAACTACTTTAGAGGTCCAGTTACTGAAGAACTGTAGTGGAAAGACATTTGATCTTTTGGGGTGCCAGAAGAGATGAAGCAATGAAAGACTAATCCAGATACTTCCCCTCTTCCTCTAACAGGACTTGAAATTACAAATCAAACCTTGAAGTATCTAAATGGCATTTTTCCTCCAAATACAAAAATAGGTGCAGAAGTAGGCCCTAGCAATATGAAGATGTGAGTCAGAAATTATTTCTCCTTAAAAAAAATGTTTTAAAATCATTACTCTAGAGCACCATGAGACAACATAAATGTGTTATTCTCTAGGGAACCCTTCTGTTCTCCTGACTAGAAACATTCCAAGCCTAACAGACTATTTCCCAGATCTAAATTCTTTCAGTTTTCATTGTTCCACGTTGTAGAAATTGTGGATTATTTTTCTATTTGTCACACACAAGATACCATAATGAAATTTTACTAAATTTAACCTGAACTTGCACAGTAATTAGTCCAGTGGGAACACACATGGCCACAGAATCTTTATTCTAATTGTATGATCAGGAGTCGTAAAGATAACAGAAAAGATTCCAACCTTTAGGGGCTTTAACAGCACCATCATGATAGAGAAAGCTCATAGTCAGAAGCAGAATTTCCAGTGAAACTCAATTTCATTCCCTATAGTTTGTTGAACACACTGGAAACTCAGCTCTGACATCCTTTGCTCACATTCACATCAGGCTAGACCATGACAGGCTCCTTCATAATTTGGTTTACTGATTGTTATTAGGTAGAGAATTTCAAATGTTTTCCACTCCCTTGATTTAAATGGGTTTTACATATTTTCAGCAAGAATCTTTGCAAAAAATGACCTTATAATTTAAAGCACAGATGCACCTGCGCAACTAGCTTTGCACTGGTAACCTGTGCAAAGGAAAGGAATCCTCAAACAATGAGGAAGAAAACAGTATGCATTTGGCTATTCTTAAAGACGTCAAATTTAAGATGCCTGTCTTTAAGGCCAGGTTGGATGAGGCTTTGAGCAACCTGGTCTAGTGGAAGGTGTCCCTGCTGATGGCAGGGGGGGTTGGAACTAGATGATCTTTAAGGTCCCTTCCAATCCAAACCATTCTATGATTCTATGTCAGTGCCAGGCTAAGGCATCACTTCTTATGTGGCACCAGTTTTTGACTGAAGACCTTGACAGGACAGCTGGTTATGACCTAATCTTCAGAGGTGTACAGTGGCTTTCAGAGCTTCCAATGGCTTCCCCTTCTAAAGGGGTAATGGCACCTGACAGCATTTCTTGAAAAATCATGTCATGAAGGCTGGGCATAAAACAGATCCAGGAAAAGCACTTACTCCTCTTAAGCCAGCCTGTACATCTGTAAACAATGGTTGGGACACAGATCCCTAAGATTACCTGTTAAATTGTCCACAGAATAAAGTGAGCAAGTCATGCAAAAGACATTTCAAAAGATAGAAATTAGTGGCAAGAAGAGTAGCAAGCAAAGTATACATTAAAAGCAAGTCCCACCAGCAGACCCAGCAAGTAACCTGCACAACAGTAAGGCTGGAGGCATCTTGGTGACGGAAAACCAGAGGCAATTATTTTGTTTCTAAAACAGGCAACTATTGTACTCCCTCTTAACTACCTCCACAAAACAACAACAACCAAAAAAACATAAGCAAAGGTAATGAAAACTTACACACGTAAGGATGGAACAGAGGAAAAATATTTATTATGAAAAATGCTATTAGCTGCTCCTGGCAAGTCTCATATCACTTTTCACAGGCAAAAAAGGATTATCCTACATTACAGAGAAATGGACAAAAAGCTATGAACTGTTTGTACCCTGCTGGGGAAAATGTTTGACCTCTATTTCACCCAGTAATCAGAGCTGCTAGATCCAGTTCCCTTTCAATTATCATATTTGTGTACACATCACTGTTGTAACCACTGGCTCCAATTTGCTCAAATTTGTATTAGAAAGTGATCAAAATGAGAGCTGGAAGCTACTGATTCCTTTTTGGACTAAACTATTATTAATTGTCTACACCACCATCTTCATGCCTACATTCTTCTACTAGTAAACTCAAGTTTTGGGAAATAAATACTTTGCCAGCAGGATACCACATACCATGTGAGGTTCACCCCATCTGGTCCCAAAACATCTGTTCTGAGTTTACAGAATAAAGTTTTATTTACAGAATAAAGTCACTGATGGACTTGATGTGTATTCAGCTATCTGAGCTTCAGCAGCACATGCACAGTTCAGGAGATCCTTGGCATTTAAGAGCCCAAAGGAATAGTGTGATACACTACCATTAACAGAAAACTCTGATTGACACATTCACTGACTACATCTGTTGACAAGAAAGTCTGTCTGTCCTCTTCCTACTTCAAGGTCTTGACCTTTCATCAAATGATTAGAATTCAACATTTTAACAGCAAACATGAACATCCCTACTAACCTCCTTGCACTTTTTAAGCACTCTTTCTACCCTCCCCCTAAAGAAAACTTGACAGACAGGATAAGAAGGTTGAATTTCAAAATACTGTTTTATTTTGTTCGCACTTTTTTTTTATTTTATTTTTATTTCCCTCTTGGAGAATGCAGGGGTAATACAGCTGAGCTAAGTGGATGCCTCTAAGCTCTATTTCCAGGTGGTGATAGCTACTCTTGAAATCATGTTATTCCCTTCCTCACCAATAAAAAGGTTTTAAAAGTAGGATAAAAAATATTACTTGACCAGTTACATAAATACCATACATAACTTTCTGCAATGACACTAATAAATTGAACTCTACATATTCCATGACAGTCCTAATCTGTTTTGTGAACACTTGTGGGATTGTGTAAGAAACCTCCAGTTTATGAGAGGGACTAGGGGACTAACCTGCCCTGAGAGCCCTGTCTGGGATCATGAACAAGTCAGCTGGCCGTGACCTTTCACAAGGCCATGAGCAGAGCTGTTCAGCTGAGAGCCGCTGTGGTTGCTGCTTACAGGCCCCACGGTCTCACGTCACAGCAGGACTGACAGAAGCAATCAACTATCAAATTTTGTAATTCAGAACTTCAGTTAAAAACACAAGTGAAGGTGGGTTTGGGCTAATACATCCACTTTGTCCCTTCTGACTAAAATTAAGTGGCAACAACAATGCTCAAGTAACACTTTAGATGAAACATGCCTCCCCAAATATTTGGGATTAGCTCCTATCAATACAACTTTTTAAAACATCAGGAGATAACAGGAGTTTGTCATTAAGACTTTCTGCTTTTCAACACAAATGAAAAATTCCTCATTGGAAAAAGAAGGAACAGAGAAACTTTTGCATTAGAAAGACTGGCAGTGTGCCACCTCACATTTACCTCTTCTGAGTTTTGTTCATTCTCAGACTTTTGCTCAACGAACACCACTTTTTAGAACCTGGGTGCTCTTTCTACTTCTTATGCAACGAGGTCAGTGTGCTGATTTTGACCTACTGAGAAACACTGGGTACCCAAATGGAACACTTAGAACAAGCTTTGTTGCAGACAGTAGACCAAGTTTATTTTACAGAGAACCTCCAGCTAGTCTCTAGACACACATCTTTTTTGAGGAAGTGAAAAATGCTTAGGTTTAATATCTGAATATTTACTGTCTCTTTATAGTCTAAATAATTTCTCACTAATGTGCTGGTAAGAATTTTGGTAAAAATGATGTAGCACCTACAAATGCTACTTGAAAGTCCCTCACATTATCAAAATTACCATATGGAACAGCCCCATTGGTAGCTTTTTTTTTTTGTTTTTTTGTTTTTTTTTAAGAAAAGCTCCTTAACATTGAAACATCAGCTCAAAGTTTACCAAAAGACCTTTAGAGACTGATATCATATATTAACTATTTCACAGAATAATTAAAACTCAGGAAACTGCAAGTAACATAGCTTTTAAATTCTGCCAGGTTGAAGCTGTGAGCCACTCCCTCAGTTAAAAGTTACTGAGAAGCATTTCAAGGTAACTACACATAAACTAACAGCTGTGCCTCTGAGAAGGTATGAAAAATAAATTCTGAAACTTTTAGAAGTTCAGCTCTTCCCTGCAACAGTTTAAAGCATTCTGCATATAAAGACCATGACTATTCATAGGTCACAAAACCACTGAATTCAGCAGCATCACAATCACCTGCTGTCATTAAGCATTTTAACTACCTGTACATTTTAACATACCCCACAACAACAAAAAAATAAAATCACTTACGGTCAAGTTAAGTTCCTGACAGAAAATGGGGTAGATAATGCACACTCTTATTTGATTAGATTTAAAATATTTGTAAAATAACAATTGCTTCATTAAGACAAGTATAATTAATCTAATCACGAAGTCATTATGCTTCCCAGCTGCTGTCAATGAATCCAATTCTACATTTTCATTTCCATTTGTCAGCTATGGCACTTACAGCTTCAAAATTTTACTGGATAAACAATTATCTAGCTGACAGCTTCACAGAAGATGATTTTAAGTAATACACTGTAATCTCAAAGAAACTGAGATATTTGCTCTTGGCAACAGAGCATAAAGCAGCAGCACATCAGTAGGCTTATTTACTCACTTAGGTGTCTTGACTACAACACAGAGGTGAAAAACTCACAGTTTTTTACACCTTCCCCTGCTAATCAACATATTGCTTGGGGGGTTTTTGTTGTTTTTAAGAGTTGATAAAGCCATCTTAATGACTGTGGACTACAGAACAAAAAGCAGCAAGCAAAAGATAATCTGGGAACTTCTTAAATATCTAAAATATCTAGGGCTAGAATGGTAATTTACACTGAGAGAGCAATGAACACCTTTCAGGATTCCAAGCAGGTCAACAAGCAGTAATTCCTCTAGTAAGTGTTGCATTCCCATTCTGATGTCACAGTCTTGCATTGTGTTAAAACAAAGAAAAAGTTATGATTGCTTTGTAATTCACAATGCCATTAAATCACTGAAACATGATTCTCTGAAGGTGGGCTGCCCAACGGCTTGAAAACCATCTTTGGTTTTCACACACATAATTAGCAAGTGACCAGCAATACCCATTTCCAAGAACATGCAACTCTGAATGTACAAACAGAGAAGAACTAATTTTCAGATTACTTCTTACCCAACTGACTCTTCATCATTAGAGCTGTGTCTGTTGCAGTTCTTCTGCCTTTCTCCTTTTGTGGAAGGCTCTCTGTTGTTGGCACTTAACTTCCACTGAAATAAAACAAATAAAATTACAAATAAAATTAGGAGGTTCCAACAGACATAAATATGTCATAATGGATATTACACTAGAAAAAGGGAACAATGACAGATGTTGAAACAATGCAACTGATCAACTAAAGCAGAGCCACAAGGAGTATATACAACAATTTTGCAAAGAATGAATTTATTTGATTTAAAGCACCCATGTACCACTTGATGTTAAATGGAACTTTTTTTTCATCCTAAAGAAATTTGACAATACAGGACAATTAAATTATTTCCCTATTTAAAGGGGGACTATCCCAAACATAGACTTGAATATTAGGCCTGTTTTACACAGTCACAAATACACAAGATAACTTCTACTTTCTTTAACTCCATGCATTTAAACAAATTATATTCCACTCAAATATATAAAATTCTGAGAAGGAAAAGGAATCTGAAGATTTGGTACTTAGGTGGCAAAACCCACACCAGCAAGACTCCACTTTTTGCAAATTCTCTTACCTTACCAAAATGCACCTGCATTTTCAAATTTAGTGAAGCCCCAGCAAAACATATAGTTATTTCTGCAATTCCAGAAACCCATCTCCCTCTGCCATTACCTCCTCCTAATCTCTCCTTGCTTTTTTTAATATAAAAGATAATAAACTAAACATATGCTTGAAAACTATGACAGTCAGGCTGAAAGCAGATAAACTTATTTTCATTTCTGTTTAAGTGGGGAGTGAAAGGACATCTGAAAAATTCATGCCCACACGTATTTCACATACTTTATTGAAGTCTGAAAGGTGCATCTCAGACCAATCTTCTCCCTACCATACGGGCCGACTCTTGGAAAATGGAAATGCAAAACACCCTCATTATTAAAACAGCTGGCAGCAAGAAATTGCCTTGGAGGTGCTCTCCCCTCCTTCTGCCTTCAAACATCATCTAGTTCAGCTCATACCACTGCTCTTCAAGCATGTTAGAGGCCTATCTGCCCAAATCACTGAAAGCTGTATAAAATTTCTCAAACAAGATGGAGCCAACTCTGACAACACTAAATATAATCTGGACAGACCTTTGTATGGATAAAGCAGTAACATTTCTTTTAATTATAGTACCTCATAAGCAATCTTTTCTTTTACTAGTCAGTGTTTAAAGCACACAGAGCACTCCACCACAGAGAAAAGTCAGAAATATATAGACACAGGTAAGAAAAATAAGAAATGGAAAATTAAGACAATATACAGGAAATAACATGGGGGGGGGGAAATAAGTTTTTTTCAATACATCCAGTCTAATCACTGTTTTTACAGAGGCAGAGAGAAAGACAGGAAGAATTCTATGGCCCTGCCTAAGAGGCTGCTGCTTGTAACCACAGAAGACATCCCTTCAGACTTCAAAACCTGATTGTAATTGGATGCTCTGCTCACTTAAAATATTAACAGTACAGAATGCAACCACAGAGAGTTTATATTGCACCATGCCCAAATGATCAGGCCTACCAAGAGACCTGGCTCACATTATCACCACTACTGTAAGTCAAAAAAATTCCTGACTTCCCTCATTAGGTTTTTAAAACTCCTCTGTGGGGGAGCCTGTTTGTCCAGTCTCATGATTTTGAAAGCACTAAAACCAGCAACAAACTGTGTAGGCTGAGCTGAAGGAGTCAAGAGTAGCAAAATATGTTTGCAAAACCTGGCATTTTAAAAATGCTTACTGAATTTGGAACAGATTTGTAGAAGCAAGGATTTGCTTCTGTATGTGACTGAGATGATCAAGATAGATAGTCACTTATAAATGCCATACAAGTACTCTTACAGTCTTAATACTGAAATCAGTTATTTCTGTATTAGCACCTAAAAATTCTGTCAAAAGTCATGCAGTACTTAATATAGTCTCTTAAGTTAGGATACAAATAAGGACTAAGTGAAAACTCAGTGTAAAAATTATTCTGATATCATAACAAAAAGTTTGGTAAGTGGCCTGAATATAACCTAAGAGTTCAGGAATCCGAAGACAATTAACTTAAAAAACCCCAAACATATATATATAAAAAAATTTGCCTTAAAATTCATTATAGTTTCAAAGTACTCCTGAAGATCAACTCTGCTTTTTAATTAATTAGGCTGGCAATACAGCACTGGCACTTCCATTTCCATAACTCTATGCTTGCAGGCAGATTTCAGACCTACACACTTGTCTCTTTCCAAGACAATCTGAGTCACAAGATAGCACTCAATACTGAAAAAGAAAAAAAAAAAATACAGCCTCCAAAACAGAACATAAAACCCATATAACATCCTCCTATGCACATCACACTCCAAAGAACTTCTCTTTACCTCTTTTAAAGGGTAGTCCCAATGGTGGGAGCCTGGGAGCCTTGCCAAAGGGGACTGAACTTGGACATCCTCTGACTTGGTGTTTGTTTTCTTCTTTGGTATACGAAACTGAAAATATATGATGTTACACACATAACAAAACTAAATTATCCACCAGTGCTATAAGCTGACATACTGCCACGTACAAAGTTTTCTTAACTGTCAGGCAAAATAACAATTGCAAGGGAACCACCAACTTATGACTGTAATTTAAATGCATTCCTCACTGACACATGATCCTAAATCATGGGTCATACTACACGAGGAGCAGGTTTCAATATATGAACTATCTTAAAAAAAGCAAGAAAAAGCTCTTCCTACTTCATTAACTTTACAACAACTTCAAACAGGTGCCCAAAGGTGAGAGCAACCTACAGGCACTTACAGTTTTCTTCGTTCCCTCTGATCTTTTTTACACTCTAATCTCAGCTTAGAAAATAATAAAAAGAAAACAAAAATAGCTGAATAGCATGATGAACACAAAACCAGGTTTGCACTCTCAAAAAAAAAAAAATCAGGATGAAGACCAATTATATCTTAGAATTGTACAAGTATTTTAGTATGATCATTTAGCATTAATACACCACAACGTACTCAAAATGGTAACAGCGACTGCCAGTGACAACCTTCATAAAAACGGAACCAGAGTTTCAAAAGTAATTATTGAAAGATAAAGCAGTTAGTAATTCAGAGAAATTTGCCAATTCCGAAAAAATACATAGGAAATAATGTTCATTCATTGAAATTCAAAACAGAAATGGTCAAACTTAATTCCTACCAGTACATCAAGACAAGGAAAGAGGGTGACATTTCCTATCAGTTAATTAAACCAGTTAATATCAACTGAAAGAATAAAAGTGGCAGTCTTGTCATTTCTCCAGGTATCCCGAGAAGCAAAACCCTACACTGCAAATACCAGATTAGAACACATCAGAGAGGGAATGCAACATTTACATCTTGCAGACAACTGAGTCTATCTCAGCCAGGAAAAAGCTGAAGCTACTGCATATGATGGCTACTGTCAAATGTATTTTAAACTCAATTTGTGAGCTGCCAGATGCCCCACCTTGTAACATGAAGTTACAAGCAAGGACTCTAGAACAGCAACACTAACAACTTTAATAATTAACACAGAAACTGTATTCATTAGCTCTGTAGGTAGTCCTCCAGAGAGACCATAACTGAAGCATACTGTACCATAATAAAATAATCCTTCAATTCTTCAATTTTAATTGAGAGTGCTCTTATTCCTTCTCTATGCTTCTTTGAAACAAAGATTTATTTTTTCAGTAATTAGACCTGAATTTCTATACAGTACCTCAAGCTGCTTTTGCTGGTCAAATGCTGTAATAACAAATACGCCTTCAATAACAGATTCCTCAGATTATAAAGGATGTAAATGTTACACACAGGCAATAACCTCTAATACAAGTACCTCCCTTCCCTTTCAATCAACATTTAAGGATTGAAATAGACATTTACTTACTCAAGAACAGCTGCAATCAGATTGTTTCATTGGTTTGTGGTATCTTAATTTTTTTTTTTTTTTTTTGAGAAGCAGCATATAAACAAGTTTTATCAGACACAATTCATTCTTCTGATCTGCACCTTAACGGTCAGGTACAAATTCCTTACTTCAGAACTCCACCTGCTGCCTGCCTAGTGGTTTCTGTTATGAGCTTCCTAAGAACACTTATTTATGTAAAATTTTAACATGCATTTAAAGTTACAGAGGTTCAGATAGCCTCTGTAATAACAGATAACACTGAGAACAGCTAAGGTCAGACACAGAAAACAGAGAGACAGATGGACAGACAGCAAGGGATAAAAAGTACAACATACATTCATCAGCAAAATTTCCATCTCACTGTGTAATACCTTCCCAACGCTTCCACTCATTAAGAAAACGTTGGTTTGCAGTGCCCACAATTAAACTGTAGGACAAGCACAAAGTCAAGAGGTAACCAACAGTCTGTATCTATGGTAAGCGCAATGTATGCAGTTGCCTTAGCTTTTCCCTAACAGAAAGTGACTGACTCAGCACATCCACTGCACTTAGCAGACTCCTCGCCTAAACCAGCAGTACTTTTCTGAAGGTTCCCATCTGTAGGAGCCATGGTCAGAGAAAATGCATAAACAAGGTGCTGGAAACAGCTTATTTCTCATACTAGACAGTCCAGACCTTGGCCAATCAAACCAGTTGCTGTGCCCACAAATGGGTATTTTAGAAAAAAACAAACCCTAGCATAAGCAGTCTCTGAACACATCTCTGCAGATAACTAAACATTATGCAGTTGGTCTACCTACTTGACCACTACGCTAAATATTTAAAGTGTTAGCTTAGGTCTTAACATATCCTTGAAAACGGGCTGTTAATGCAAAAACAAATGCTAAGCCTAATGTATTAATACATGTTCAAGAGCAGACATGACTATTGACTGCTACCAGGATAAACTGTTTCTCAGGAAAAAAAAAAGAAAGAGTGCTCCAACAAAGCAAAAGCTGGACCACTGGAGAATGAATTTGGTTGTGCAAATACATTAGAACACCCTAGGATAACCACAGCCTCCAAGTAAATTGTTGCAAACTGGCGGAAGACTTACATTGACGTGACTTGAAGATGATGTTCTTCCATCCATTATTTTCTCTATTGAAAAAAAAAAAAGATACAAAATAAGCTTAGCAATTTGTGTTTTATTTATTCAGAGGGAAATAGGACCACAGCAGTAGGTACTAAGCAAGAACAAGAAAATAATTGAGAAAGCAAGCACAAAGAAAACTCATTCATACAACGGTCTGAGCTGGAAGGGACTTTTAGAGATCATCTAATCCAACCCCCTTGCCATGAGCAGGGACACCTTCCACTAGATCAGGCTGCTCAAAGCCTCATCCAACCTGGCCTTGAACACTTCCAGCGACAGTGTGTCCACAACTTTTTTTGAGCAACTTGCTCCAGTGTTTCACCACCCTCATCATAAAAAAATTTCTTCCTTATGTCCAACCTAATTCTACCCTCTTTCAGTTTAAAACCACTGCCCCTTGTCCTGTCACTCCAGGCCTTGGTAAAAAGTCGTTGACAGTCATAATACAAGAAAGACATGCTCTGGCAAGGCTCTGGATTGTCAGTGTGGACAGTACTGTTAACAACATTTTCACTAGAATTTGCCCTTAGTGAAGACATTTACTGCTTAGCTCCATCTCCTGGCAAGCACACAACTAATAAGCAATTCAGGCTTTGATTACAAAGTGAAAAGGAATCACAAAAGACACCTGTAACACTACAGGTGCTTCAAGAATAAATAAAATTCAAGGATTGCTGTTAACAGATAAACTTCTTCCCCAGTGGAAGAACACAGCTTCAGAGCTTCCAGTATTCACATAATCATGGAATGGTTTGGATTGGAAGGGACCTTGAAGATCATCCAGTTCCAACCCCCCTGCCATCAGCAGGGACACCTTCCACTAGACCAGGTTGCTCAAAGCCTCATCCAACCTGACCTTGAACACTCCCAGTGACTGTATGACTCCAGTGTAAGGCCTTCAAACCCTACAGCTAGTCTGAAGTCCCTCAAGAAGGCCTCTCAAGCTCGTGTACTTCCATTTAGCTCAGCAGTTTTTCAACTCCCAGCCCCAGTCCCCCGGCGTAGGGAACAGCCACGCCTACAGACTAGTAAAGAAAAGACAAACTACTGACGATTCCAACGCCTGCAAAGAGGAAAACTTAACAAACGGCGGCCTCCTGGCAGGGACAGAGGCACCACGCAGGGGTGGCACCGCCCGGGCTGTCACCGCATGAGCCCTCCCCTGCCAGGCCGAGCAGGGCGGCGGGGCAGAGCCGGGTCGCCCCGCACCCCAGCCGCCGGCTCCGCCCGCTAGCAAGGGAACGGGCTGCTCACTGACAAACCAGCAAGTACCGGGGGTCAGACATCCCGCATCTCCACACTCTCTCCCCAGCCTCCTCACAAAGGAGCAGCAACAACACCGTTCGCGACAGATACCCGTGCGGCGCGGA